GTGGCACAGCGCACACTCACTTCACGTACACTAACGATTCTTACGCAGTGTAAGTTGGTGTACCTGCATAAATTGGTTAGATAAAACCAGTGCCACTATCCTAGATAGACCATATTGCTAGGGCTTATACTTACGTAAATTTATCGCATCATATTTTTCATAAATCTTTTGTTGGTCAAATTTTAGGTTTTTAAAAAGAGTTCTTAAACCCGGATACTTATTATTGGCTCTTATACCACCTGTGACAGAATCGCCTGGAATAACACACTTTCGGAGGAGCTTGTCTTCACTAGACACTAAGCACCCCTAAAGTGGGCTGTACCGGACAGTTCCGTCGAGCACACCCCCAAGGGAGAACTCAAAACAATCCACGTTTTGCATCTAGAATCCAATAATGAGTATGAACTTACGCTACTTAGTCCATTTCATACAATCTAGAGTCTTGAAAATTATTTATTACAATACTAGAGTTCAGAGTGAGATAATTAAATAACGGAAATGTAATAATCATCTAGCAGAAACGATACACGGATCCATCTGTGCCCACCAGAAGAATCCTCCACACAAGAGCTAATTCCTCAAGCTTCACCTGCAATAGGATAAAATAAACCCTGAGTTCACAATGTACTCGCAAGACTTACCCGACTAGTGGGAATAGTTTCCCGACTCGCAAGGAACATGATAGGCAATATGGTCTACTCTTTTCTTTTGTTTGCGAAAAAGCATTACTAAAAGTATGTCCTTAGGGTCCAGTTTTATTAGCAGTCATAATTACTTAATTAGCTAACCATTCTAGGTAAGCACCTGTTCTACTTTCCAGAAAGGGTTAGCAATCAGAACCATTTCACCATCTTTCATCTTCTAGTTTTTTCTACGGTGCTATACCATAGCCAAGTCGTACTGTCTCACGAAAATGACAATTCGTGAACCAATGTATCCCAGCTGGGTACCCTGAAACACACGCCTCGCTTGTACCCCAGGCACAAACGAGACCAACCCACTCCACTCCTGTCGAGGGGTCTAGGTCCTTGTCGAAACTTGGACTCCAAGGCCCCACACTTGAGACTCGGTCTCAGCATGGTTCTTAGACCTCCACCTTTCCCCGCCTCCAATCAGTCGGTCCAGAAAGAGTCAAAACCCACAACAAGAGCGCAACGAGCCTTACCGCTCCCACAAGCAAGTATGTGCTCAGGATAATAAGTCTGTGACCTGACTACCATCTACAGCAACGGACGGTCCTTAATCGACACAGACAGAGAAAACAGTGTAACCAAGCTAAGCCCTATGGCCGCGGGACACAACTTGTTACACGCACCAATAACCCATGCCATATCTCTATCCGGTCTCCATTTTCTCTTCATTATTTTTATTATGAAAGTAATAATAATCACCTATTGTGAGTAAAAGCAGGTTACTCACGCTACCGATAGCCTAAACATAGCAGCCACTCGAACCTGCACTAGTAGGACTCTTAGGATGGATATATATATATGTACATATATATATATATGTATATATATATATATGTTTATATATGTGTATATGCATGTGGGTTCTTTAGAATTTCCGTAACGTAAATGCACATCACATATATTTACGGTGATTATCAAAAATAAGGGTTATGAATCGGGGCTTGCCTTGGACAGGCGCGGTGTTAGCTGAGTCAGTCCGTGACGGCTCCGGGACCTCCTTCTGCACAAGAATCTCCTCGTACTCCTCAACGATCTCCTCGAACTCGGGCTCACCGGTTGTCATGATCTCTGCCAACTCGTTCTCTATATGCATGCGATGATGATGATGCAACAATTTAGTATTTAGGCAACAACAACTCTTAAAATAAGAATACACATGTTAAGCTACTAAGCTAGCTCTAATGATTAAGATACTAAGCTAACTATCATCTTCATCAAGCAGGATATTGAGTTCAACTAACAAGCACCTAGTTTCGTAATTCAATGGTATGCCTTTATTTCTATTAAAGATTTAATGTATATTTAAACATAGAACATTTAACTATACTAATATTTAGTCCAGTCTAAGGCTAAAAAAATTACAATGAGCACATAATAATACAATGAAGCTACTGAAAAATTTTAGGATTAAAGCTATCACCAATTTGCCACACAAATTCCTACAATAATTTCCTTAATAATATTAAGCACTTTCAAATGATTTAATAGCCTTTAGTATCAACACAGATATGTTTGAACTAACTACACTATAAGGTAGATAATGATTTTAGAAACCTAACAAAATTAGTTTCATAATTTTTGGACACCTATACAAATTTATATTAATTATACAAATCTAGTTCAGAAATTAAAATAGAAAGCTATTACCTATTTCTAAGAAAAAGAAAAAATGAAACCGACCCCGTGGCCCACAAATGCGCGGACCGCGCGCGTCGGCCGGCCCATCAAAACGGCCCAAGAGCGAAACCCACGCGGGCATAGCTCTTTTGCAAAAGAGACCTTGATCTTTTCCGAAACTATGTCACCATCCATTTACTAATTCTTTCTCTCTCTGACCTCTTCACTTAACCCCTTGGCGTTCCTCTAATTTCCCCCCACACACACACGGCTAACCCGTGCACGGCGGCGCGGCAAGCATTGGCATTGGGTGGCTACGCCGGCCACCAGAGGCTCACACAGGCCCATCAGTCGGACTGACCTCTAACTACGACTTAAATGCCTACGCTAAGTGGCAATGCGGGGCGACGAGACTCGCTGGAGAAAGTTGCGACGACGCGTGGCCATCCGCGACGGTGGCACGACGGTTTTGCCGAACCAGGACACAGCTACGTCAGCGACGCCGGGGAGGCAGTAGCGGTTCTGCTGGCGCGCGCAGGGTGGAGAGGGAGTCAAGACGAGGCTAGTGGTGCAGACAAATTGGTACAGGGGGGTTGATGGGGAACTGTCATCGGCTTTTGACGCACACGGCCTTATCGGTCCGGCGGCGAGGAAACACCAAAATTGAAGCTTGGTTGGGCTCGGTCCAAGGCGGTGTGGGGTCGGGTGGCTAGGCGACTTGATGGTGAAGCCAGCGACGCGACAAATTGGCTAGAGATGATCTCTCCTTGACGGATTTAATGACGCGGCCCAGCCAGCCATGGAAGCAGAGAGAGAGAGAGAGAGGTGGGGCTCAACTCGACCTCGTCTTGGTGGGACGCGGCCGACACGATCAGGGAGACACGCGTGCCAACACTGCGGACCAACCGCGTGCGTCCATGATCGAGCACAGCCCGTGCGGGTTCCATAAATGGCAAGATGATGGCGAGCCCAGCCATGTGCGCGTAGCAGTGGCATGCATCGGACCGGGCCAGCAGCGGCGCGGAGGTGCAGGGGGTGTGGACGCGATGGCGAGGCGATGGCACCGGCAGTAGCTGCGCCACTGCGTGGGGCAGGGGCAACAGTGCGGTAGGAGCGGCGGGGCAGCCAGCAGCACCGCACGGCTAGGCGACCAGCAGCAACGGCTCCGCGCGGCAGCGGCCAGTGGTGGCCAGGCCGCAGCCAAGCCACGGCCGGCCGAGAGCGACCCTGGCCCAGCAATGTGGCCTCGCGCGCGTGGCCCAGCCGGGATGACCATGGCGAGCACAGGCGCATGGTGACCGCGCACACAGACCGAGCAGGTGATGTGCATGAATTTTAAAGCATCAATAACAACCGGACTATGGAAGTTGAGACTAAACCACCTTCACTATGCTAAAGCGGGCATATCAGACTACCAACATGAGCTAAAATATGACACCACTGCCTAGCTAAATTGCACGGAATTAATTCGCCAATATAGCGTCGTCACCCTGTTTTAAAACTTGAAAATCTTTTGTCTTGAGGTGGTTTCAGTTTCAGGTTCCATTTTTAGGCCATTTGAAATACTAGCTAGCAATGCTCTTTTTCTACGGCAAGAGTTACATTGTCATCTACAAAGTTTGTACTTCAAACCTTATTTAGGTGTCACATATATGTTTTATAATACTTTTGCTTAATAAAAAATGGTTTTCAACCATACTTAATATACATGAGCTATTGAATCAACTTTCATTTAACATTTTTATTAGTCATTTTAGGTTACAAGAAATTGATCTACATACTTTATCACATAAACATGATGCTCATGGCATGGTTTAGTGGTTTGTTTAGGGTGTAACACCGAGGGTGTTACAGCTTAGTAGTGTACACGATGTCAAGGTGATTAAGTGGGTGGCGTTGGTGAGACTTACTAACTGACGGCGCTAGCCTTTGGTCGGTGGATGGCTTGTGTGGCAAATCCGATCGTGACTGCGAGAGATTAAAGTCCTAGAGCGTATCTCGGTGGAGCTCCAACGTGAATTGTGAAATAGGGGTTGTGAGATTTGGCAACCAATAGGATATATCGTTGCATCTTCAAGAGTTCGTCCTCTCTATGCTTAGCACTTTGCTTGCCAAGTATGTGGCTTCCACTTGTGTGACTTTTGTTTTTCTAAATTAGCTATAGACTAGTTGATATGATTGACTCTAACTAGGTTGTAAAACTATTTTGGTTTGAGAGTAATTAAGTTAGAGCATGCTACAAGAATAATTTAACCTTAAGTGTACATCCTAGTAAAGTATGGTTTTTATAAGGTCGGTAGAAAAAAAAAACGTTCCAACAAATTAGTGACAATGGTAAACTAATTACATACACACAAAACCACCACCAAGATAATTACATGGAATGCATGAACTCTCGTGAGAGTCACTTCGTCAACAACATAGTAAAGTATTGCATACATATAGTTACACAAACCGATGTGGCATGCCCTTTTGCAACGTCTAAATATAATTGCTAAGGACACATACATATATAAACTTTCTTCTTTATTTATTTATTTATATACAGAGAGAGGAGAGGAGAGAGAGAGAGAGAGAGAGAGAGAGAGAGAGAGAGAGAGATTCATCAAGGGTATATATGTCCCGAGCGCACACACGATAATTTCACCTCAACAACGACTCTGGTGCGCGCCGGCCGCAGTAGAGGCCGGTTCAGGAGCAGCCGCCGCCCGCCACCGAAGCTGACGATGACGAAGAAGAAGCCCCACCCTGGAAGCAGCAGCACCCGGCGGCCGCGTCGTGCGCCATGCTGACGACGCTGGAGATGTCCTCCTCGTCCTCGACGATGGTGTCGAGCTTGGCCTGCCTCGGCGGGGCGACGGCGGGGACGAGCTGCCACGGCGCGACCTCGGAGAAGAAGATGCTCGCCATGCTGTACGTACAAGCTACTCGGCGCTCGGCAGTAGTGAAACTTGGACGGCGGCACGCACAAGAGCTGAGCACATCGATCCTAGTATTAGAGCTGATATAGCTAGCTGCCTTGTCGATGGAGGAGCGACCGGGCTGGCGTTTTATAGCCGCGCGCGCGCTCGGTTTCGTCCCCGGCGATCCTTGTAGCGTGTGGCTTGCATGGTATCGGCGGCCGATCCAGGGCAATATATCTAGCTTGGAAAAGAACTAATGGTGGTGGGTGGTGGTTTCCACTTCGCTGTCAGCTTGCAATGCAGTAGCGTTTGCATCAGGGCATGGACGCATGGTGACCGGTGGTATGCATGTCGTACTCAATCAGACTGACATGCCGGGAATTGGTGGAGCAGTGCATTGAACTGTGCGTGCGAGATGAGAAGCGGTCAGAGAGTGACTAGCTAGTCACCGAGTAATGCATGACAAAACTTCTATCGGCAAGCCCCTGCATCTGCATGCATGTTCAGCCAGGCAGATCAGGAATCAGGATCGTATATTAGGAGTTAAATGCACCAGCGGCCCTCGAACTTATAAGGATGTGTCACGTAGGTCCACGAACTCGAAAAATGCACTTTTATGTCCTTAAACTTGTCAAGTGGTGGATTGCAGGTCCATATAATACACGTAGGCATTTGTAGCTGACATGGCAAGACAGCGTGGCATGTGTTTTTACATTTAACCTCTCTAATTCTCTCTTCTTCTCACGTCGTAGCCCATGACCAGCACGGCGTGGTCCAAAGACGTCCCGGGCAGCGGAGCATGGCCACGACTTTATGGTGTATTAAATATAGATCCCGTATACTCGTTGCACGCATGTTCAGTCAGGCATGCACATCGATCCCGATCGATATATCGGCCGTGCACCGCAACATCCAGGGCAACGCTCTTTGTCCTACGCCATGCGTTGTGCGGTTTCCTGCAGGTCTCTTCTTGCTGAACGTACCCATCATATCAATTCTTGGTTTCCCGGTCTCGCGGGGCTCTTCCCTCTTGCAATGGTCTTGAGACGACGGGATCAGACGGACGTGACGTCGGGCCTCGATCGATCGCATTTACAACGGCGACGAGCGAGGTCGCCGTCTCAGGCAGAAAGATGCCGCACGTCGGCTTGCCTCTGCGCGGCGTGCCCTGAAGCTCACGGCATCCGCTGCGCGCGACGACGGCGGCATGCATGTCGCGGTCGGTCGCTCGGCCGCAGCGGAGCGGATAAGGGCTGGTTGCGTCGGAGCGCACGGAGCCGTGCAGCTGTGTGGACTCCGGCGGTCGGGAGGCGCGCGGGCGCGGCCGAGCTGACAGCACGACCCGGTCGTACCCGTACGTCGGGCTCGTTGGAGAAGACGACGCATGTGTGGCGCGCGTGAAGTTCACGTGCATACGGTTCGACTTCAACCGCGACGTTTCGTGACGCGGGCCTTGGGATGGGGATTCCAGAGGACGTTCCGGGCCCAAACAGAGAAGGTGGCGGCGGGACCCCGGGATTGTTCCAAATTGTCCGGCCTTTTCCTCCTTTTTCCCGCTGTCTTGATGAAACACTGTCCAATATTAAGGCCAGTCTCAATGCATAGTTTTAACACATGCTTTCTAAAAGTGCCACATCCGTTTTACAAGTTTTGGCTGATGAATGAAATAGCCTTTCTCAACGTACAGTTTCATGACACGGTTATATAGTCTAGCCGTAACATTTAATTATTATACAGTACTACGATCAAGTGTGGCGTATAAAATATGTCGCCACTTCGTGTTAAAAAAACAAGAAATCACTGAACCAACAAGACTACTCCGCGTGTTCAGATCTGCAGCAAGTGCATGTTCAAAGAAGCAAGTACTAGTCCTGAAAAAAAAACAAGAGGCATATCACTTCAGACATGACCACAAAAGAGAGTTCAACATTCGGCTGCTGGCTGGACTGGAATCTGTCCTCGCCATGGCTGGACTGGAATCTGTCCTTAACGCTGCCGGTGGCGGCGGTGCCTGTTGCGGTAGTGACGCACGACGCAGTAGAGGCGGGCGGTCGCTACAGCGCAGGCGAGGCACTTGCTGCCTGCGGACTGCGGAGAAGCACTTGACGGCAGCGGCGTAGGCGACGATGCCACCCCGCGATTGCGGTGGTTGCCGCTACGCGCTCTTCCTCCGCACCTGAAGCCGCGCCGCAACGAGCTTTCCTCCAACGCAGGAGAATCAACTCGCGTGCCTCCCCCAGATCGAGTGGACCCATCTTCACCGGGCTAAACGGGAGATGCCGAGACGCCATTGCCGGAGCCTGAGGAGATGGCCAAAGGGAAGGGGACGAGGCGGAAGAGGAGTGGAGATTGCAGGAGGCGAGCGGATCAGGCGGGAGCTAAGGCGTCGAGCGCATCCGCAGCAAGCCGCGATGGATCGGAAGGGATGAAACGAGATACCTCAGTGTGCGTTTCATGCGCCTTCCAATGCATTGGAAACGGGTTCGACTAGTTTCACCACCACGAAGCTCTTATTTTCTCTCTCTCTTAAAACTGTGTTAACTCATCAAATTTATTGAGGTGACATATCATTTAATGCCCATAAAATCTCTATGAAACTCCATTTTAACCGGCCTAAGCTATTGGGCTCGACGAGATAGCTGACGACAAGGATCTTCTCCGTTTGAGGAAGTGAATATGTTGTAGAAACGATATGGGTCTGATCGTCGTGACCTGACCTGCTGCAGCCCGGGGGACGGAGATGGGCTGCCATGGCCCGGATTAATTGTATCTTTGTTGAGAAAAAGTCCATCTGACCTCCTTTAATAAAAGCTTCCACAAAAAAAAGGCTATTACAAAGTCTGATTTACCCCTCTCAATTAAAAAAAACAGATTTTGAGACTCCTCTTTCTTTTGAAACCCTCCGATTTACCTCTTAAGTAGTTTTTATTGACATGACACCACATCAACCGTCCTATATGGCGCCACATTAGGCACTAGGAGATAAATTGGACTACTATAATAGTTCAGGGCACTTGTGTTCATAGTATGGGACGGCTTGGTGCATCTTATGAGCTACTTATGGCAAAAATAAAAAATAAAAAGAAATGAGAAGCCAAACGCTATTATATACACTTCTCTTCATAGCCCTTATTTGTAACTTTTTGTAGCTACCCTTTTTCTCCTCATAGACAGTGCTTTTGCTCTATTTGTGTAGCTTCTATGGAAACTCTTCTCCCCGTAGGACCAAGTATGATTTGGTTATATCATTATACGGCATATGTGTTGTCGTCATAGTTCATAGCGCGTGCGATAGACGTAAACTAATTATATCAGATATGAGAGCATATACTAGCAAATAAAAGCAAAATAAAGTCTGTACAAGAATAAAATAGTTTCAATTTAGGCACCATAAGATAGAGCATGATTTTATAAAATTTATGAAATCGGTTTCATAAATTTTCAAGCTAAATAATTTTTCTAAAACTAAATCGGATTTTAGGATATTTAATTGTATAATTTTGTAGGAAAATATATTTACCCCCTAAACCATCAAATCAAATAAGTCCAATTACCTAAATTATCAAATCAAATAAGTCCAATTAACATCTTTGGTGGCTGACATGGTGTGATTGTGTGACAAAACCGCTCAAGGTATAAATAAAAACAAAATTACCAAAAATGCAAATTTATACCATACCCAAAGCAGTAGGAAACACATGTGTAAAGTCCCTCGTGGGCTTGGGCCTTTCTTGCGCAGGCGCATTCCACCGCCAGACGTGGCGAAACGGAAGCATCCACGTAACCCTCCTCTCACGCCACGCACTTGCGGGTGGCGCCTCGTTCAAGGCCCCCCAAACCGAAGCGGCCGCCGCCGCCCCTCCTTTCGTCTCGACTTTTTCTCCAAGCTCATCTCCCCTCCCCGATCTCGGGGCGGCGACCAAGCATGTCTCGGCGGTGGGCTCTCACGCTGCGCTGCTGCTTGGGCTTGGCATCCGCGGCCGGCGGCGGCGGCGGTGCCCAGCGCAGAGGCTCCTGCCCACCTCGTCGGCCGCCGCCGCACTGGCCTCCTCTGGGCGGCACCACATGCCCTCGCCTCCCAGTTCGGAGCAAGGTTTGTTAGGGTCGATGGATGAGTACCTTTCTGTGTGTAACCCGTAGATCCGTAGTTAGGCTCCTCAACCTTTCGGAGCTTCACCGCAGCGGCAGCAGCGTGGGCGCCGATGCCGCCCTAGATGCAGCCTCGCGGGACGCCAAAGGCTCTCGCGTCCCGATGAGGAGGCGTGGTGACGATCTGATGGGGCGACAGCGGTGACCTGCGAGTGGGAGACGGCAATGGTGGGGCACATCCGTCGCCGGCAAAGACGGCCTTTAGATCGGTATTCGGGTTTACGTAAGTGGGTGTGGCGGCTCCGCGAACCTCTCTTTTGAGCTCGATCCCCACCTTCCTTTTATGTGTCTTTGTCACGTGGGGCCACCCAACCGGATTAGGGTTGGGCTCCCCCGATCAGGGAGCCGAGATAAGGGCCCAATAGGCCGTTGGGCCTATTAGTGGAGATCAACTAACATTCTCCCCCTTGATCTCATTCCATCTTTCACTTTCATATCATTTACTTTTGTTCATTCCATTACAGATTAGCTCATAGAGCATGTCTCATCGTCACGGTCCATTGCCGATAGACTTAACAGCTACAACTCACTACTCTGTTCTGAAATAGATACTTATCTTTGGGCCTTCTTTTGTCCAGAAATATTTTAGGCTTTCCCTTAAACCCAAGCTAGCTACATGTTCTCTGAACACCATGTCCTCTGAACATGTTGGGTGGTAAGCCTTTTGTAAGCGGATCCGCGAACATCCTTTCTGTTCTTATATGCTCAAGACTTATGACTTGATCCCGGACTTAATCTTTCACAACATAATACTTTATGTCAATGTGTTTGGCAGCACCACTTGACTTATGTTGTGAGCATACTGTACTGCCAGATTATCATCGCAGTATTACTTTAAGTGGTCTATAGATGTCGTCA